AGCCGTGCCCTGACTTAGATCAGCCCAGAGGTTGTTTCAGGGTTCTATCTGTGAGTTAGCCGTGCCCTGACTTAGATCAGCCCAGAGGTTGTTTCTGAGCATCGATAAATTTTAAAATTTTGAAGAAAATATAAATGTTTCTTTGTCTTTTTGTCATAAATTGCCAAAAGGAAAAGGGATTACACACCCTTCAATAATCTCATCAAATTATCCCCAACCTCCCCTCCGTTCCCCTAACGCATGCGCAAATGAGCGCATTGAAAGGCGTCAAACTTATCTTTATCTATCGTTCGTGTTTCATTGTTTTTCTTTTTTTCCCTTCTTAGAATCAAAGCTTTGCTATTATCCAAGAAAATACTGGCTGGGAATACCCCCAAAAACTCTATCTTACCGTAAGTCAAACAAACACAGTTTTCTGATTTTAGAACACGTTTCATTACCTTGATCTTGAATGATTGGTTTTCAATAGAATTATTAAATATAACGGCCAGTTTACACAGGCGATTTTTTTCGGCGATTTCCACTGCGATTCTTGCGGCGATTCTCGTGCGATCATAAACTAACGGCGATTTTGAGGCGATAAATTCACGTCGCCGCTATCGCCACTATTTTGATGTACATGTTCGAATCAGTGCGATTTTCGGGCGATTTTTTCTACAAGAATCGCAGTGGAAATCGCGCTGCAAATCGACGAAAAAATAGCCCGTATAAACGGGCCTTAAGATTACGGATAAAACTCGTAGATTGTTTAAGAACACGACATTTCGGCTATAACTAGTGATAGCCTACATCAGAATTAACCATTTCCCTTACATCGGTTCACTGGTCAAACACAAAGCATTCATCGAGGTTGCAAGGTTCAAATTTGAATAATCCTTTGAAAGTACCTTGGCGCCTCGCTTGAGCGCTTTGTGTTTGACCAGAGATCCAATGTATGGAAAATAGTGAACGATGATGGAAATGTGTGAAGCGCGTATGACCCTCATCCTTCTCCAAACCGTCGCTTGTAGACTCTTCTACAATCTCTTGCTCGTCCGTTCCGTCTCCACGCTTAGAGACTGTAACGGTACAATGACAGAAAGAACGTATGGGTCCCGAAAACTTGGACCCGGCGTGCTTTGGGAACCAAAATGCTCGTCCACAGTCTCTCTCGTTTTAGCCGCCTTCTTGAAAAAATATTGAAACGAGAGATACTGTGGACGAGTATTTTGGTTCCCAAAGCACGCCGGGTCCAAGTTTTCGGTCATTGTACCATTACAGTCTCTAAGCGTGGAGACGGAGCGGACGAGCGAGAGACTGTGGAAGAGTCTACGTCGCTTGTTGCTCGTTGGAATTTAGTTGTTCACTGCCAGTAGTCAAAAAATATAAAAAGTGCATTCTGATTGTTTTGGCTGACCTCACCGAAAAAAAAAAAAAAAAAATTTCACAACATACAAGCCGTTGAATAGTCTGAGTTCGCAAAATACAATGTCAAATCCTATGGTCTACGTTCTTTCTGTGTTGCTGCTCCTCAACTTTGGAACTCTTTACCGTCTTCACTTAGAGATACTTCTAATTTATCTTCTTTTAAAACTAATCTTCTTCTTCTTCTTCTTCTTCTCCTTCTCCTTCTTCTTCTTCTCCTTCTCCTTCTCT